GCTATTATTATGTCATCTGCAAATGTGGTGATAGTATATCCAGAAAGTCAACTGGACTCACCATATATACACAATGGCTACAACAGCAGGTCAGGGGCCAGGAATACTGCAGCGAGTAACTCACCTCCAAAGCCTGTCCACCATCGACAAGGGACAAGTCAGGAGTGTGATGGAAGAGTCCCCACTTGCCACGTTGAGGGAAGCTCCAATAATACTCAAGATCCTCGACACCTTCCAGGACAAAGCAGTCCACTTCATTGGCACCACATCCATAAGCATGTACTGTCCCCACCACCAACACTCGGAAGCATCTACAAGATGCACTGCAGAAATTCACCAAAGATCCTCAGACAGCGCCTTTTAAACCCATGACCACTTCCATCTAGAAGGACTAGGGCAGCAGATACATTGGAAAAGCACCACCTTCAATCTCTCCTCCAAGTCACTCACCATCCTGACTTGGAAACATATCACCTTTTCTTCACTGTTGCTGGGTTAAAATCCTGAAATTCCCTCCTTAATGGCATTGTGGGTCAACCCACAGCAGGTGGACTGCACCAGTTTAAGAAGGCTGCTCACCATCACCTTCCCAAGGGCAACTTGGGATGAGCAATAAATGCTGGCCCGCGAGCGATGCCCACATCCCACAAATGAATTTTAAATAAAATCACTGTCCTCATCCCAGTCATCAATATATGTTGAAAATAACTGGAACCCTGGCATTGAACCCAGTGGCAATCCACTCATTACAAGTTGCCATCCTGAAAATGGCATCTCTTATCCCAACTCACTGTCTGCTATTAGTAAGCTAATCCTCTCTCCATGCTATTATACTATCTCCGATACCATGGGCTATTATCTTATTAAATCGCCTTAGGTGTAATATCCTCTCAAACTCCTCCACAACTCACAACAAAGATATATCCCAGTGAAGAAGAAGGATTCTAGGAAGGGGATAAACTAATTATGGGGAACCAATGAAGTTAAGGATAGTGTCAAATTGAAAGAAAAAAAATGGAACATGGTAAAGATTAGCAGTAAATTAAAGGATTGGGAACACATTAAATCTACAAAATATGATTAAAAAAGGGAGAAATTAAACTTAAGATCAATTTTCAAGTAATATTAAAATGGATGGTAAGATCTTCTTTAAGTTTGTAAAAAGAAAGATACATGCATCAGAGAATGAAAGTATTGAAATAATAATGGGGAACTAAGAAAAGGCAGAAGAGTTGAATGAAGACTTTGGATCAGTCTTCACAGCAGAAGACACAAATAGCATTCCAAAAATACTAAACAGTCAAAGGGCAAAAGTTGGAGAGGAAATATATATAATAACTATCACTAGAGAAAAGTACTAAAGAAACTAATGGGGCTAACGATTCCTTGAACTTGATGAGTTGCATCCTAGGACATTAAAGCAAGTAGCTACATTTGATAAAGATTAATATCATCCATAATTAATATACTGACTTTTTAAAAACACACTCATCACCTCCTGTTTATTCTCAATTTACAGTATAGCTGCGTTAGAGAGGATCTGTTGTCAATCCCACCAGAGTAAACTTTCCTATGTTATTTCTTATAACCACACATATGTATTTTACATCTTTCAATCCAAGCTCATTCCTTGCTGTCATACTTATTTTATCTCTTACTAACAAAACAACTCCACTACCCTTGCCTCCTTGTGTGTCCTATCCAACAATCACTACTGCTAAATACTTATTGATCTCCTTGTAACTATGTCTCTGTAATGGCTATTATATCATATCCATTAACCTCTATTTGTGTCTTTAAATCATTTCTTTTGTTCTGAATACTGGATGCATTTAAGTATAAAGCTATTAATTTTGCCTTTATCTCATTCCCCCCTATTGATGTTATTTGATTTGTTTTAATGTCTGTACACTCTGCCTTTTCCTGCCCTGCAGTGCTGCCACATCATTTTGCTTTGTAAGCCTACATATCCCTTTTCCAGACCCCTCCCCTCCTATTTAGTTTAAACCCCTCTCTACAGCCCCAGAGGATCAGCCATGATCATATTGAATGGTGGAGCAGTCTTAAAGGGCTGAATGGCCTATTCCTGCTCCTAGATTCATAGATCTATAGCAATCTACAGCACAGAAAAGGCTCTTCAGCCTATTGTACCCATGCTAGTGAGAACAACCATCTAACTATTCTAATCCCATTTTCCAGCACTTGGCCCACACCTGTGTAAGTGTTGACATCACAAATGTATATCTAAAGACTCACAAGTTTCTATGCTGGTTTCGAAAAGCTTCCCAATCCTCTGGTTTCCCACTAATCTTCAGCCATTTGTTCTTGATCACTGGTGTCAAGAACTCCCACATGTTACAGCAGCAAAACATAACCAGTCCTGCCATAACTAATTTATCTTATCTAATTTATGAATTAATTTCTTTAATATTCCTGCATTTTGCCCTTGAAGAATCTCCATTGTTTATGTTTTATTGTAATTTTTATAACAGTATTAAGCATAATATTAATTGAATACTTTAAAAGCTATTTAAAATTCTATGCACCTAAACACAAACTAAAGATTTACTTTTTCTACATTGGTTTTGGAAGCTTGCTGTGCAAAAATTGACCTCTGCAGTTCCTATGTTGCAAAGGGATTCAATGGCTGTGATGTAATTTGTGACATCGGATGGTTGTGAAAGGCGCTATATAAACGTTAGATTTTCTTTACAACAACACTCTACTGATCTTGAGAGGATTATACTAAAAAGATAACCAAGGCTAGAGAGCTGGCTATAATGTAACACTGTGATAATTCTGATCTTTAAAATATATACTGTTACAATCTGGTTAAGGATTATTAACATTTGAAAAGAAATCCAAATACTTTATTTTAGCCATTAAAATGATGCCACAAGATTTCACATTTTTAAACAAAAATATTGCATTCTGTATAAAAGAATTTAATAAATCCAGCAATATTAATTTAATAGTATGGCTTTAAACTATATATGCCAAGTATACAGGCTAATTACTTCCCCAAGAATTTTCCTATAAGACACATCATTCTGAAGTTTGTTAACTTCTGTAGGAACTCGTCACCAGTACTTTCATTTACAGTCTCTTGACAATGGAGGTCTCAAGTCCCTTGTTCTTGTTACTCTTCAATACTTCCAAGCTAACCTGCTGGTTACTTTCTTTTGCAGTAAGACTCTGTGAGGTCTACTGTGGATTCTCTCACTAGCTTCAAACCAGACAATCTTCCAGCTTTTATTCCCTCAAAATTCAGACTGAGATTAAACCTTACCCATCTTCCACATGGTCAATGATGAAGTTAGTGTTTTACCCTCCTTACAGTGTGTGTCTGTCTCGCATTCATTTACTTTGGCTGAATTCTCTTAGTGAGGTGCAAACCTCATGAACACCAAACTGTAGTTAAAAACCTTTCCCAGCAAACACCCAGATAAATTGAAACCAGAGAGCACTGTGACATTCTCTGGGCTGTCCTCAAACTGACCTGTAGATTCATTATCCTTAATTTATAATTTCTTTTTTTGATATGATGAAGCAAATGACCATTATAACCTCTCAGGATGTGGAAATGCCAGTGTTGGACAGGGGTGGACAAAGTCAGAAGTCACATGACACCAGGTTATAGTCCAAGAGGTTTATTTAAAATCACAAGCTTTTGGAGCATTGCTCCTTCATCAGGTGAAGTCTCAGGATTTATCTCTCAGGATTTATTGTTTGTCTTTAAATTAATTTATGTTTGCCTCCTAAAAAAAAGCCAAAAGCTAAACTCTAAAACACATGAAGCATCAACTAGATACTTGCAACAACACTGAGCACAAAGGTCTTTCTTTTTATTTAGGACCTGATTCACATAGAGATCAGTGATTCTCAAGCTGGGCTTCACCGTGGTTCTAGCGATCTGAAGAATAATGTTGACTGGCTGGTCTTGGGGTGGGCAATGCAGTTTGGCTTGAGGGCAGATGCAAGCAAAGAGGACAGTCCGTCCCACCTTGGAGTCATGAAGATTGCTACATATGCAAGTAATCTCTAAATCAGTGGTATTCAACCTTTTTTGACAAGAATCTCTAAAATATGTTGTGAATTTCTACGCAACTCTAACCCTCTTTTCTATTAAAATTAAAACAATGAAAAACCAAACGGTAGTGTTAAATATTGGATAATTGTAACATTATTATGGATTGTTTCTTGCAAGCACATCATAATTATTTCAAAGTAGTTCTCCTGATCTGAGATAAATTCTTCTTGTATTCTAAAAGCAAAGGGCACTTGGGAACCCTAGTTGAAAATCAATGCTTCCGGTAAACATCTGTAATCACCTAATAAAAACTTAAAGAACTGCGGATGCTGTAAATCAGAAAAAAAAACAAAAATTGCTGGAAAGGCTCAGCAGGTATGGCAACATCTATGGACAGAAATCAATGTTAATTTTTCGGGGTAGAGTCACCCTTCCTCAGAACTGCTGAGCTTTTCCAGCAATTTCTTGTTTTTGTATCTGTAATCACCTGTTGGATGTAGCACTTGGGGCAAAAGAGATCAAAGGATATGGGTGGGGTGGAGTGAGGACATCGAGTGCAGAAACAGTTGCGTGATCAGAATAAATGGTGGAGCAGGCTCGAAAGAGCCGAGTTGCCTTTTCTTGCTTCCTTAAAAGTGTAATTCAAAACACAGTTTATTATGCAGAATTTTTGGATTATGAACATTGCAGTTTAATTGTTGGAGGTGCCTGCTAATAGATTACTACTCTATTTGCAAAGGGATTCTCCAGTCAGTTCCAGGTTGTGATATCCTGCATCAGCAGCACCTTCACCGATGACACCGTTTGGACTGTGCAGTAACTCCATTGCTGGGGAGGCGGTGGCTGGAGGAGGAGCGGGGCCGATTTGAGTGGCACCGTATCCGACCACAGAGGAGCTTAGACACTCGACAGGATGCACAAGCAACATGGGAGGTCCCTGGGTCCGGGGTTAATGCAAAGTAAGAAAGCTCTGGGTGTGGGATTAGCTGTACTGTAGCAGGGGCGGTGTATTTATTAGTTTTCTCAGTTTGCAATGGCTGCAATTCTCCCCGTGCGATAAGGCGGGGGAAAGCGGGGTAGCATGTCGGATCGGGATGCGGTGAACGGCTCTAGCCTCCCCGGCAGCGCTGAATGTCAGCAGCAGGAGGAAGAGGTTGAAGCTGCTGCCGCTGCTGGAGCCAGGGCTGGCCGGGATCTCAAGGAATGGCTCCGGGAACAATTCTGTGACAGTCCCATAGAAGGGAGCGAGGACACCCGGCTACACGATGCCACTTATGTGGGCGACCTGGACACCATCGCCAGTCTGCTCAGAGAGGACAACTTCAGGAGGTGAGGGCACTGTTATTGCTGCTAATGTTCCACACATCATTCCTGGCCTGGCCTACATTAGTGGGGAGGACAAAGGTATTAGATATTTAAGGCGTGTTTTATTTTAATGCATTTTTAAAAGAGACAAGCTTTTCTTATATTTTTGAAGTTATATTTACTGATCCCTTCCCAATTAATCCCTTGGCCTATACGATAGGTGAGAAGATGGGCAGCTGATCCATTCCCCAGTCTCTACTACTTTCCAGCTGCGCATCAAACCAGCCTTTCCTCATTACTCAAATTCTCTCAGGTATCAGTTTTAGTAAATCCCATCTTCTGCCCTTCCCATGGCCTTGATGCCTTTTCTAGATTAGGTGGCAGAATATTGGATGCAAATCTAACCATCATCTAACCAGTGATTTATACAGTTTATAAAACGTGATCTTTTTTATGTAGTATATGGTACTGTTTACAAAAGCCACGTAGACTGAATGTGGCCACACTGTCTGACATCAAAAAAAAACCCAAAGAACAGTGGATGCTGGAAATCAGAAACAAAATTAGAAATTGTTGGAAAATCTCAGCAGGTGGGGTAGCATCTGTGGAGAGAAAGCAGAGTTAATATTTCCGGTCCAGTAACCCTTCTTCAGAACTGCTTGACATCAAGTTGTCGATCCAGGCAAGCACCAGGTAGAAAATCTGTTTTCATGGTTTTAATATTTCATCTGATATTTCCATCACACTCAGTCAAAAAAAGAATGGTCCAAACTGACATGTACACATATGAATTTGAAGCAGAAGTGGTCATGCGGCCCTTCAAGTTTGTCCCACCTCTCAATAAGATAATGGCTGACCTGTTTGTTCTGAATTCCATATTTATATTTATCCCTTACTTTCATCCCCTTGCCTAACCAGAATCTATCCACTTCCACCTTAAAATTATTCAATAACCTTTACAACCACCGTCTCTGGGAGGCAGAGAGTTCCAGAGTTTCATAGCTCTGTGAGAGAAAAAGATTCCCCTCATCTCTGTCCTCAAACGGTGTTGCTAATTTTAGAACAGTATCCCCTAGTTCTAGCCTAACCTCCAAGAAAAAAAAATCCCTTTCACATCCACCTTGTCAAGCCTTTTCAGGGTCTTACAGACTTCAATTAAATTGTTCTTTGCTCTTCCAATTGTGGAAACAAGCCCAACCTGTCCAATCATTCTTCGTAGGACAATCTGTTAATTCTAGCAATCAATTTAGTAAGCCTCTTGTGAACGCCCTCTAATGCATTTACCTCTTTTGTTAAATAAGGAGACTAAAACTATACACAGTATTTGAGATGTGGGCTCTCCAATATCCTGTAAAACTGAAACATAACATCTTTAATATTCAATTTGAGAGTAATTAAGGATTGCATCCCATTAACCTTCTTAATTACATGCTGTACTTGCATACTATTTTTGTGTGACATATACATGAGAACATTGCAATCGCTCTGCATCGTGGAATTCTGCAGTTGTTCTCCATTGAATAAATACTCAGCTTTTTTATTCTTCCTGCCAAAATGAACAGCTCCAGATTGTCTTGCATTATACTCTATCTGCCAGATTTTTTCCCATTCACTTAATGCTTCTATGTTGGTCTCCATCCTTGTTATGTCATCATCATAACATATGTTTCAACTCATCTTAGTATCATCTGTGAATTTAACCACCTTGCCTTCTGTCTCTTCATCTAAGTCATAAGGTATGAATTGTAAATACTTGGTGCCTGAGCTCAGATCCCTGTAGGATTCAACTTGTCACATCCTATCCATTATAGCAGTCTCTATTTTCTGCCATCCGGCCATCATATTGCCCCCCTACCATGAGCTCCTACTTCATGTTATCAGATACCTTCTGGAAATCCAAGTTCAGTACATCAACTGGCCCTTTTTGTCCACATCACATGTTACTTAGAGTCATAGAGCTGTACAGCATGGAAACTGACGCTTTGGTCCAACTCATCCATGCCAACCAGATATCCTAAATTCATCTAGTTCCATTTGCCAGCATTTGGCCCATATACCTCTTCCTGTCCAAATACCCATCCAGATGCTTTTTAAATGATGTAATTGTACCAGCCTCCACCACCTCCTCTAGCAGCCCATTCCATCTTTCCTAAACCCTTTCAAATTTCACAACATCCTTCCTCTTGCAGGGAAACCAGAATTGCATGCAGTATTCGAAAAGTGGCCTAACCAATGTCCTGTATAGCCAAAACATGACCTCCCAACTCCTACCCTCAATGCACTGACCAATAAAGGCAAGCATACCAAATGCGTTTTTCACTGTCTTGTTTTCTTCAAAGAATTCCAAAAAATTGGTTAAACACAATTTCTCATTCACAAGACCATTGCTGACTCTTCCAAGTTATTTTGAGTTTTTTCCATGTGCCAAGTTATAAATACCTTAATAACCGACTCTAACAGCTTCCCCATGATAGATGTCAGGCTAACTGCACATATTCCTGTTTCTGTCTCCCTCTTCTTCAAAACAGGGCTTATATTGCTATTTTCTGGTCTAATGAAACTTTGCACAATATTAACAAATTTTGGAAAATTAACATTGAAACATCTATGACCATATTAGCAACCACTTTTGACATCCTAAGATGAAGACCCAGAGACTTAGCAACCTGCAGCTCCATCAGTTTAGTCAGTACCGCTTCCCTTGTGATTACTTTTTTTTAACCAAGTTCCTCTCTTTCTTTAACCTTATAATTTCTAGGTTTTAGCTTTGTAATCACTATTGTGAAGACAAACAAAATATTTATTCATGACATTTGTCATTTCTTTATTATGCAATGTTAACTCCTCATCCTGCCCCTTCAGAGGACCAATCCTCAATTTGCTTACTATTTTGAAACCTACAGAAGCTCTTGCTATGAGTTATGACATTTCTAGGCAGCTTAATCACATGTACTAATTGATTAAGACAGTGTAGAGCTGGATGAACACAGCAGGCGAAGCAGCATCAGAGG